CCCCCTCCCCGGGACGGTGCCACTGACAGAAGTGTCTTTCGGCCATTCCCAAACTTGTTCTTATGCACAGTAGCATTGAAAACGGGCTGATTCAGCAATGTCATGCTCATAACTGTGCCTGAACTGCCACAGAGAACTGCTGCTTTTTCTTTCCTAATCCTTACTATCGTCATTTTCCCTCTACTTCTTTTGTATGTTTGTCACACTTTTGTGACTCGCGATTTCCGGGGTGCCTTGATAGTCGAAGCAGACTTTGTGCTGTTGAAGCTAGGGAGGTGAGCAGTGAGCAGAGTAAGCGGGATTCCCTGTGAAGACTTATCTGTTAACATCCACTCCTTGGCGTTCATATAATATAATATATTATGACCTTATGCAGTTGCGAGCGCCATAAAAACACTAATAAAACTAAACTAAAAGCAGGCTGGTGTGACGTTTCGATAATTTAAATGAATTACAAAAATAAAACCCAACAACTTAATCTAACCATTCTTAATGCTAACAAATATACCGCCCACGTTTGCTCCCCATTACTATGTCTTTAACATAACTAAAATTTATGTATCTTTCAGTTGTATATCCATACCACTAGATCTAGTAGTGTCAGCATATGAACTTGCCTCCTCAAATCTCCGCCCCATCGTAAAAGAAACGTTATGCTCATAATCGTTTAAGTTAAAGGCATTTCTGAACTCAGGCTTTCATGGAAATCTCAGATGAAATAAATTATAGTATGTTGGTGAATTTTAAATTCTGATAGTATGAACATCAGCCAGGCATATCAGGGAAATTACTGGAAATGTCCATAAAAGCGTGTTGTTCTTCCTTTTGAAGGCATTTTCCCATTTCTTGTACCAGGTAACATTCCTCGCCCTTCAGCACTAATTCATATTTCATAATGAAATGTTTCAATCATGTACATTCCCTTCACGTTTTAATTTTTTAAAGACGCACTGACATTTTATACGAATCAATACTTTAATGCCAGGTCAATTTTGTGTAACGTAAAACTTTGTACTGACAACACACACAACGATTAAACAGATCGTTTTCCCCCAGGAGACGTTCAATAAAAATGTTGTTTTGTTTCTATGGGCAGATATTGGTAATCTTAGCTCGGTCTTATCTCAGACGATTTTGCGCTTAAGCGACTTAGAGATGCAGGCAACAGCTCTCTCAGATATCCTCTCCAGGTCAGATATCGGTTTTTGTTGTTGTTTTGTATCGGTACACAAATGAGTGTGTTCGTAGGTGCATATTGTGTGTGTGTGTGTGGGTCTGTTCGTGTGTGTGTGTGTGTG